ATTGATCTGTAAAGTCAACATAATATCAAAATCCCGACTGATTTTTCTTGCAGAAATTGGCAAGCTGATCCTAAATCAGGGAAATACAAGAGGCCCAGAATAGCTTAAACAATTTTGAAAAAGAAGAACAAAATTGGAAGACTCATACTCTTCCCGATTTTAGTACTTACAGTAAAGCTACAGTAATCAAGACAGTGTGAACCAGCATGAGGATAGACATAAAAATCCATGGTATGTAACTGAAATTCCAGAATAAAGCTGTACATTTACGGTTGATTGATTTTTCACAAGGGTACCTGGACAATTCAGTGGGGGAAAGTATAGGCTTTTCAACAAACGGTGCCGGGATAACTTCATAATCACATGCAAAAGAGTGAAGCTTGACCCCTACCTCACAACATGTAAAAAGTTAACTCAAAATTACTAAATGGAAGGGCTAAAACTCTAAACTGCCTAGATTAAAACACAGGTGTAAATGTTCACAACCTTGAATTGGGCAACAGTTTCTCAGATATGACACCAACTGCACAAGTGACAAAAACAGATAAATTGGACTTCATCAAAACTAAAAACTTCTGTGTGACAAAGGACACCACCTGGAGAGTGAAAAGACAACACATATAGTGGAATAAAATATTTCATATAATATACTCAATAAGGGAATTTTATTGAGAATATTGTAAAGAACTCAGAACTGAATAAAAAGACAAATAATCTAATAAAAAACTTGGCAAAGGTACATGAAAAGGTGCTCAACATCACTAATAATCAGAGAAATGCTTGCCAAGACCACAATTCAATATCATTTCATACCTGTTAGAATGACTATTAGTATCCATCAACAGATGAATGGATAAGAAAACGTGATGTGTGTGTGTGTATATATATGTGTGTGTATACATATACATACACACACACACACACACACACACACACACGATGGAATATTATTCAGCCATGAAAAAGAAGGAAATCCTGCCATTTGCAACAACATGAATGGAACTGGAGGGCATTTTGCTAAGTGAAATGGCAGACAGAGAAAGACAAACATTGTATGATATCGCTTATATGTACAATATAAAAAAAAAGACCTCACAGATACAGGGAACAGATTGTTGGTTGCCAGAGGTGGGTAGTGGGTTGTGGGTGAAATGGATGACAGTGGTCAAAAGGCACAAAGTTCCAGTTATAAGGTAAATAAGTCCTGGGGATGTAATGTACAGCATGGTGACTATAGTTAATAATACTGTATTGTGTATTTCAAAGTTGCTAAGAGAATAGATCTTAAAAGTTCTCGTCACAAGAAAAATTTGTAACTGTGTTGTGGTGGATGTTAACTAAACTATGTGGTAATTATTTTACAACATATATATATATATGTCAAAACATTATGTTGTACACCTAAAAATAATACAGTTATATTTCAATTAAAAAAAAATCAGCAAAGGATTTGAATTGACACTTCCTCAAAGAAGATATATAAATGGCCTGTAAGCATGTAAATAGGTCCTCAGTCTCATTAGTCATTTGGTAAATGCAAATTAAAATCACATTGAGATACCACTTCACACCCACTAGGATGGTTACAATCAAAATCCCAGCTAATAACAAGTGTTTGAGAGGATGTGGAGAAATTGGAACCTACAAACATTGCTGGTGGAAGTGTAAAATTGTGCAGCTCCTTTGGAAAATGGTTAGGTGGTTCTTTAAAATGTTAAATATAGAGTACCTATATGACCCAGAAATTCCACTCCTAGGTGTATATCCAAGAATTGAAAACATAAATCTATGCAAAAACTTGTATACAAATGTTCATAGCAACATTATCCATTACAGCCAAAAAATGGAAACAACCCAAATGTCCATCAACTGATGACTGAATAAACAATATGTGGTATATCCATAAAATGAAATATTATTGGACAATGAAACAGAACAAATTACTGATTCATGCTACATCATGAACAAGCCTTAAAAACATACTAAGTGAAAGAAACCAGTTTCACAAGACAGTCATATGAAATGGCCCAAACACCCAAATCCATAGAGACAAAAAGTGGATTAGTATTATCCTGGGGCTGGGGTGAGTGGGTCAGGAATTATGACTGCGAATAGGTTTGAGGTTTCTCTTTTGAATGATAAAAATGCTACAAAATTAGGTGCTGATGGTGTTTGCACAGCTCTGTGAATATCCTAAAAAAACCCCTGAACTATATACTTTAAATAAGTGAGTTTTATGATATGTGAATTATATCTCAATAAAAATGTCTTTCTACAAAAGCAGGACGTGTGCTTGATTTTCTCTCTTTAGTTATGAAGTTTTGGGATAATAAACACCCTCCAAAGATGTCCAGTGATTCCTCTTTTTTGGAAGGGAGCAGGAGCGGCCTTTAAATTTCTATACATTTGGTTTGCTGGCCAGAGTGTGATCCGTAAAGTGCCTTTCCCTGTCTTCCTTTCCCTGGAATATAAGCTCCATGGGGATGGAGTCTTGTCTCTTTTATTTCCATCCGTGTTCCCAGAAGCAAGAATTATGTTTGGTGCATAGTAGGTGGTCAGTAAATAGTTTTTGGTAACAAGCGAATGAATGAAAGAGCCACCCTATAGTTTCTGATCATTTGGAGCTACTTCTTTCTAGTACCTTAAGTCTAATATCCTGCTCTGTGACCACAAACAACCATTCTCCAGTTTTTGTATATTATGACTTTCTGTCTGGAGCTACTTTTTATGTTAAACTAGACCAGGCTGTGCAACTGGGGTCTTGCATAAGGGTGCATGTCAATGAGGGCAAAAATCGGGGCTGAAATCCTACCTGCTCTCTACTTGCAGAGCTGACTCCCCTGGTGCTGAGTTGATCAGCTAGGAGGAAGGGCTTCAATTTCTAATTTTGCTGTCCAGAGGGCGCCCCATCTCCTAATTCAACACTGAGGGGTTGCCATTGAACAGTCTGTCATCTTGGAAGGGGTGCTTCATTCCAAATCCCACAAAGTTATCTTATGTATTGGTGGCCGTGGTTCAGATTACTGGCCCCCTGAACCTTATTGCTTTCAAAATTATTGGCTCTTTCCTGGCATCATAGCCTTCCTCATTCAGCCGAGATCCCACAGATCCAACTCATCAGCCTCTTATTAGAACCCACAAATGCAAGTTTCCCACATTGTAATTCCACCTTCTCTGTGTGGGATGTTGCAGGGAAAGCGTCACAAGCACATTGATTGGCCACACAACAAATATGCGGTCTCAAACCTCATTGGTTTCACCTTGTGCTTCTTACAGTTCTTTGATTATAATTTGGTCATTTCTGTCTCTGATTCCTGTAACTCTGAATCCAAACAAGTACTTTACTTACTTAACTAATTAGCTCCTCTCACTCTTAGATGACTGCCTAGCCACTTATTTCAAAGGAAAAATAAAGGCCCTCATGTTCTTCCCTCATCTCTCCCCATATATGTATTTTCATGACAACTAATTAGTCTCTATTTGCTTACTTGCTAAGAATTAGGTGTCCTTCCTCTGTTCTAAAGTGGATATCTATCTGTCCTTATGAACCTCATTTCCTTTCATGGGCTCACGATCCTTATTCTATCAATGATCTTTCTCCCCAGTATATTCAAACCTTACTCCCTATTCTACATGTCCCCTCAACCCACACATGTCCTCAAGTCTGTCTTACAGTTGTAGTTTCTAGTTCATGAAGGTTGACGGAACAGATGCTACTTCTTTCTCATATGAACTCCAGTTCCAAGAAATGTTTGGAAAAATCCTTTGCTACGTTGGAAAATGAGAAGCGATATTATTGTTGGACCAGAATCTGTGAATCCCTGAGGGACAAAAAGTATACAGATTATATTGAAGAAAGAGTGCACAACCTAAAGGGCTTGCAATAGAGGACTGTTCTAAATGGTGGGAATTCTTGCACTTCATGAGCAAATGACATATGTATACATTTAAAGTCATTATATATACACCATTATATATATTTAAAATCAGCTGATAGATGTACTGATAGCAAGTTGGATGGATCTTAAAAACATTGCTAAGAGGGAAAAAGTATGTGCGCATGTATGTGTGTGTATGGTCTACATGAATTCCAAACACACACATATAATACAATGCCATACATCTTCTGGGGACACAAAAATATACATATTATATACAATGGAAGAGTTGCTCATGGAGGGAGGGAAGTGGGAGTGGGGTATGGAGATCAAAGAAAATTTTTTTTCTTTTTGAGGAAGATTAGCCCTGAGCTAACATCTGCCACCAATCCTCCTCTTTTTGCTGAGGAAGACTGGCCCTGAGCTAACACCCATGTCCATCTTCCTCTACTTTATATGTGGGACACCTGCCACAGCATGGCTTGCCAAATGGTGTGTAGGTCCGCACCCAGCGAACCCCAGGCCGCCGAAGTGGAACATGTGAACCCAACCTCTGTGCCACCAGGCTGGCCTTGCTCAAAGAAAATTTTTTAAAAAACAGAGAAAAAATTAGTCCGTAATGTACCTAAAATATCTATAAAATTCAAAGTGTGATAAGCTATAGAGTAAAACTGTGGGCAAAAAGATGTAACATTTTAGAAGTTGGGCTTTCTAGGAAAACTAAAATCCAGGAGACATTCATTCATGTAACCTCAATAACATAAGGCTATGGTAAATTATAATACACCTTCTCCACCATAGGCAAGCTATGCAGATTTTAACAATATCTAGTAAGAAATAAATATTAGAAATTGTGTTCAGAGCTAATCTGCTGAGAGGCCTTCACAGGCAATGGGATTGTTTTAAAGTTGTGATAACTTTCCTTTTCAAAATAAAATAATTTCCTTGAGTCAGCATTTAGTATATCACTCTATCAATCTTAGATTTAAATCTCACTCCAGAAACATGTACTTCATCTTAGAGTTTCTTTTGTATGGAAGAATTTCTTAACTTGCACTGACCAGATTCAGCCTGAGATAAATTTATGCTCACCTCCCCATGCAGAAAAAATAACCACAGTTATTGATTTAAATTTTTATTAATGAAATGGGGAAAAGGAAATACTGAGATGGACATAATTAAAATGTATTTTCCAAGGAGGCTCTTGAACAAAAGGGAGTTCTTCATTTGCCACTAAACTTTCCTCCTTGCCTGAGGTCATGATGGTTCTTTAACATGTAGGAAAAGGATCACCTTCTGCCATGCACCTGAAGTAAGTTAGCTGTTAGTAAATTGATCATTAATACACACTAAAATAAAAAACTACAGGATTTGGGGTAGAATTTTGGAAAGAAAGCTAATAGAAACATTCTCACCATTGAGATGTTTAAAAGAAACCACGAGCTTTTGACGCTTTCTGGTTTCCGTCCTCCCTTCTTTCTCCCTCCCTCCTCCCACCCACCCTTCCTTCCTCTCTCCCTTCCTCCCTTCCTTCCTTCTTTCTTTCTTTCCTTTCTTCCTTTATGTTCCTTTAGGTTGAAAGCCAAAGACAATGCTATATGAACAGATAGATCCCAAGGCACAAATTGCTCATATAAGTTTTCTACTGAAAATAAATTGCATTATTATTTAGTATAGTGTTGAATACCTATCAGTTTAAATTCTATCTAGTTGAGTAGAAGACTACACATTCTTATATGTTCAATTCATGTTTTTTTCAAGATTCCCAGGTCCCAGGCTTCTAGTTCTTTCTCATTATTTCCTAAATCTCCCTATATGTCTGGTCTAGGATGTAGGGACAAATCACTCACTCCTTCATGTTAACTTTGCACTCCTTCTGAGTTGTTCTTAATATTGCATTGATCCTTAAGCCTGGGCCTGTGGTGTGGGCACTGGGGAGGAAATGGCAGATGTATCTTTTACCAAAGTTCTCTGATTCGGTGTTGTTGATCAACTGGAGATAAAGTTTGCCTTTAGACATGAAGTAGTAGGTGTGGAGGAAGTAGGAAAATAGTTTTATTGAAAATGGTTTTCATCACCCTTTTCAACTTCTCACTTACTCCAAAAATCTTGGTTTCTGAAAACACTAAAGATACTGCACTTTGATATTCAACTCGTTTTCTCATATTCTGAGAGTTAAAGGTATGAGTCATCAGCATTCCCATATCCCTGTTCCTGGTATCAACTTCCACAGAGCTTTTTGTTTCCACGGGAATATCTGCTGAATTAAACAGACCTGAGCAAGAAAACTGTGTATCTTCTGTCTTATTCTCTCATGAGGTGTGAACATAAAAATATTCTGTAATAAAAACACCATTGTCTAGGGCAAATTAGTTACCTTCAATTGTATAGAAACTCATGTAATGCACAATAGTTAGTACAGAGTGTTTTCAGTAACCTATAATTGCAACTTAGATATGACACTATTTATACTTAATTCTTATCAAAACCTTAGTTCTTGAAACAGAGTTCATAACAGAGGCCAATATCTTCTGATTCACCAAGGGAGAAATGAGATACTCACCACATCTTTATTATCTTCTATATTTTGCTTTTAGTATCCAATGCATCACTACACATGACACCAAGAACTGCAACGATGTGAATAGCCACAAATATTCTGAAAGGAGTTTACCGCATTTCTGTTTCCAAAAAGAAAATGTACACTCCTTATAGATCTTTATATGTTAACTCCTTAAAAATAATATAGGTATCAGGAAATTGTGGGAAGATGAAAAATAGAAGAGAAAAACTATCCAATATATCCTTCATCTTCAGCAAGTATGGTTATTTATATATATTTTTCTTGATCATAATGATAACTGATAATTATCAAGGATGATTATAAACTGATAAATTTATGCCAAATGGATAATGAGAATCATTGATTGTGTTTTCCTGTTTATTACTGTGGATAAGGTGAGCAAATTTTCATTGAGGTCAATGAACCTCTGGAGAAGATGGAATTGGGACACTCTTGAGGTTCAGTGTTATAGGACTTATTTAATGGAGAGCTGTTTAACATTAGGCCTGTCTTTAGGAAAGGGCCCTAAAGGAGAACTCACAGGGAAGGAAGAGGAGGTTTGGATTTGTGACCTAGGCTCAACACGAGGGCTTATGTGTCCTGGGGATAGGTGGTTTCCTCCTGGGATTGTGCCTCTGACTGTAAGCCCCAATGGACCCATATCCTTGTAGGACAGTTGAGTTGGGAACAAAAATACAGAATCTGTAATATTGGAAACCCAAGTCTGAAGGCCCCAAAACACTTTTGTGACAAGGCCACCATCGGCTATTGGGATCAGTTTTCAATACTGACACTAATTGAACTGAAGCCATGGCAGTGGAAATTATCGGCATGCTGGTGGACTGCTGAGATGCTCTAGGATTCTATCAGCTGGAGGTTTGGTGTCAATATTGAACCTTTGGCTCTCAATGTTCTTGAATAACTTGAGAGGTCAACAGGAAAGGAGCTTCAAGAGGAAGATCTTGGATTTCTTGCTAATATGAACATTGGTGGTTCAAGAAAATGAATTGGAAAAATGAAAGAGTTAAGACTATCATTGCACTCCAATCCAGTACAATGACACATTCTTGTTATGCAAATATAATCTTAAGCAATATCTGGAGGTTTACATTTATTTATTATTTCACTTTAAGGTATCCTTCAGGATATGTGTCATAATATATTAGTATCCCCTATGGCAATAAGATGGTTTTTTGATGTGTCAATCTATCAATTAAACCAATCAATTTAATTGATTTCTGTTAAAGCTTAATTTTGTGTAGTGAAGCAGCTTGAAATTTAGACTATCCTTGATTAGAATAAATGTTCTGCAAGTGAATAGCCCTGTGACCTTAAGCCGGTAGCTTAACATTTCTAAGCTTGTTTCTTTAATTGAATCAGAGACATAAATCATTCTCTGAGGAAGTTTGCAATCCCACTTGCTGTAAAATCACTTTCAAAGCTACATAGAAATAAGAAAAATTCAGCAAAATGCAATCCAACATATGATTTGGAACTAGCTAATTAACTAAGAGTTTGGGATATTGAAGTAAGGAGAGCTTCCTGAATTAGGTTAGGTATTTAAAAACAGGCAACATCCAATGGGCTCAATTCAGAAAAGTTGGTTTCTAGGTCTTGGTCAAAGTCCCAGATAGTTTGACCTTTGTAAATCCCTGGGCAGATGGGAAAGAGCAGAAGGACAGGAATCCATACAGAAGGCTTTGGAACCTATGACTTTAATTCCTACTTAACTTGCTTAGCACTGACTCCCATCTCCTTACCCTCTTAGCTCCTTCTCCTCTCCACACCAACAAAACTATATAGATAAGTGCACATATATCCACAGTCCCATCTGCACTGAAACACAAACACAGACACACTTAGGCTCACAAAAGCCTGCTGACAGACAGACTGACAGACACAAAGCAGGCAGTGCAAAAATGTCCACACAGTCATGTACATACAGGACTGAGTATAGATGTACTCCAAATTACATACATGCACAGAGTTCAGCTTTATTCTGTCTGTAGACTACAGCCCTGACATTGAACATAAATCCCTGGGTACCACTAGTACATAAGGATGCTATTTCCTTCTTTGAAGATCAAATCTTGCTATAATAAACTTGATCTTTTAAGACTGGGAAAACTGGCCTCAGAGCTACAGTACCTAGAAAGAATCGAGCTATCATAAAAATATGTTGGCTACTAGGTAGGGCCAGAATTGAAGATAGTGCTAAATCATTCAAAATACATCTGTTAATATTATAATACATTCCATTTCGTTACTTGAGGTTTTGAGTGACCTTAGGTTTAGGAATATAACTTGGAGTTTGAACCACATTTGTAGTATTTGTAGTAGGTGCATATGCCAAAGAGTAAACTAATGATGAAGGTCACTACCATATCTTGCGTACTTAAATACTTTGATCACTCACCAAAGAATTTAAAATGTAATTCTAAATTTGTGATAAAATTCTCATAGAAACCTAGCACTTACCTGTGGCCAAATAACACGTTTCTTACTTGAACTAAATATTGCTAATTCAAGTGATATCAGAAGCAGACCAATCAGTGCAATGCAGGAACTTAGGACATTTGTGAATATAGTATGGGTCATCTGGAATAGATAAAAAGAATGGCCTGGTCATTGGAAGTCATCCACATGCATCATTGGCAAGTATATTCAAGTAGAAGATTTATATAAATTCTGATCTTTTCAGAATAGTAGGGATTTTAAAAGAACTGTCAGAACTGCAGATTTGTCAGGATCCCAATAGGACCGAACAATTTTGGAGAAAAATATTTTGATGTAGTGTGCATGTATTTATTCTTTCACTGACAAATAATTATTGAATATCTATTCTTTACCATGTGAACTATGCTCTGTGTTAGCAGATAAAGAGGCAGAAGAGAAACGGTCTCTGCACTCAAGGAGCTTTCAGACTACTAAACAAGTGCATATTAAATGTGAATAGAATGTAAAAAAAATGTTAACAATATAGGCAAATTCATAGTGCCATACAGAATCAGATTACCAGAGAGCAAATATTCCAGGAGTTTGCTATGGCTCATTTTAGAGTGCAAGAAGGAGAGTTGTAGGGAATTTTGTTGGAAAGATAGGGGCTATCTAGACATTTAGAATTTTATCTTGAAGATAGTAGGGAATTACACGGCTGGAGGTGCCTATTCTGTTTTCAAACCACATTCTTGTCAGGTTTTGTCCTCCAGACAATGCATATGTATAATGTTTCTGCATAATTACACTTTGTCCAAATATGAGGTCAGAAGGGTGATAAGCCATATGATATTGCTGTTGGGGAAATCCTTCTCTTATTTCTTTGTTCTCATTTGTACCAGTGGAATTCTTTCTATCTTATATGAATTAGATAATAAATAGGAAAACAAACTACTGGATTCTGAAATCTATTTCACTGGATAAATCACATATGTGTCTAAATTGCTATTCAATGTTGTACAGTGATCTCTATTTATTCTTTTGGAAGAAATCTCCCTTAAAGAAAGACAATCACTTTAAAATAAAATGTTCAGCAACTCCTTTTGTTTTTTTTGAGGAAGACTGGCCCTGAGCTAACATCCGTGCCCATATTCCTCTACTTTATATGTGGGACACCTACCACAGCATGGGGTTTTCCAAGTGGTGCCATGTCCGCACCCGGGATCTGAACTGGAAACTCCAGGCTGCTGAAAAGCGGAACGTGCGAACCCAACCACTGCACCACCAGGCCGGCCCCTCTCTGTCTCTTTTGATAGATACATTTATTGATTTTAACATTCCTCTTTTTGCATTCATGGAGTTGATCATTTGGTTTTTATGTTTTTAATGGGGTGGATCACATTGATTTATTTTCAAATGTTAATCTAACTTTGCATTTCTGGAATTAGTCATAATGTATCGACCTTTCTATTTATATATATATTTTTACTGTATTCTATATTTTATCTGCTAACACTTTGTTTAGGATTTTTATATCTATGGTCATGAGAGATTTTGGTCTGTAATTCTCTTTTCTTGTAATATCCTAGTAGAGATTTAGAGTCAATGATATACTGTCCTCATAATGAGTTGGGAGTTATTACCTCTTTTTTCTATTCTCTGGTAGAGAGTTGTGTAACTTCTCCAAATATACTGTAGATTTCTTTTTTTCTCCTTTTAGTTTTGTTGATTTTCATTTGTATATTTTGAAGCTATGTTAACAGGTGCTTAGATTTTTAGGATCATTACATATTCTGTTGAAGTAAACCTTTTATTATTTGAAGTGTTCCTTTTTAATAAAAAAATCTCTGATAATTTTTGCTTTAAAGCCTACTTTGCATAATACTAATATAGCCTTCTTTTGGTTGGTGTTCACAACAAATATCTGTTTTCCAAATTCTTATTAAAATCTTCTATATTTAAAGTGTTTTTTTAAAATAAATAGTAGTGGTATAAGATAGGGGTCCAATTTTATTGTTCTGCATGTTTTTTATCATAGTTTTCCCAGCACCATTTATTGAAGAGACTATCCTTGCCCCATTGGGTATTCTTGATTCTGTTGTCAAATATTAGTTGACTGTATATGCAGGGGTTTAATTCTGGGCTCTCAATTCTGCTCCATTGGTCCATGCATCTCTTTTTATGCCAGTACCACACTGTTTTAATTATGATTGCTTTGTAGTATGGTTTGAAATCAGGGAGTGTGATGCCTCCAGCTTTGTTTTTTCTCAAGATTGCTTTGACTATTTGTTTTTTTGTGATTCCATTCAAATTTTAGGATTACTTTTTCTATTTCTGTGAAGAATGCCATTAGAATTTTGATAGGGATTGCATTGAATCTATAGATGACTTTGGGTAATATGGAAAATTTAACAATATTAATTATTGCAATCCATGTACGTGGAATATCTTTCAATTTGTGTCTTCTTCAATTTCTTTCATCAATGTCTTAAAGTTTTCAGTGTATAGATCTTTCATCTCCTTGTTTAAATTTATTCCTAACAATTTTATTATTTTTGATGCTATTATAAACGAGAATTTTTCTTTATTTCTTTTTCAGATAGCCTGTTGTTAGTGTATAGAAATAAAACTGATTTTTGTATATTGATTTGTATCCTTCAAATTTACTGGATTTGTTTATTAATCTAACAGTTTTTTTGTGATCTTTAGGGTTTTCCACGTATAAGGTCATATCGCCTGCAAACAGAGACAACCGTTGTTTCCCTTTCTGATTTGGATGTCTTTTATTTCTTTTTCTTCCCTAATTGCTCTGGGTAGGACGTCCAGTATTATGTTGAATAGGAGTGGTGCTAGTGGGCACCCTTGTCTTGTTCCTAATCTTAAAGGAAAAGCTTTCAAGCTTTCACTGTTAAATGTGAGTGTAAGTTTACTTAGCTGTAAATTTGTCATATATGGCCTTTATTATATTGAGGTATGTTCCTTCTATACCCAATCTGTTGAGGGTTTTTATCATGAAAGGATGTTGAATTTTGTCAAATGCTTTTTCTGCATCCATTGAGATGATTGTATGATTTTTATCATTTGTTCTATTAATGTAGTGTATCACATTTATTAATCTTTCTTTGTATGTTGAACCACCTTGTATTCCAGGGATAAATCCCACTTTATCATGGTGTATGATGTGTTGTTAAATTTGGTTTGTTAATATTTTGTTGAAAATTTTTACATCTATATTCATCAAGGATATTGGTCTATAGTTTCCTTTTCTTGTAGTGTCCTTATCTGGGTTTGGTATCAGAGTAATGCTGGCCTCATAAAATGAGTTTGGGAGTGCCCTCCTCTCCAATTTTGGAAGATTTTGAGAAGAATTGGTGTCAATTATTCTTTAAATCTTTGGTAGAATTCATCAGTGAATCTATCTGGGCCTGGACTTTTCAGTGTTGGGAGGTTTTTGATTACTGATTCAATCTCCTTACTCATTATTGGTCTGTTCAGATTTTTATTTCTTCATGATTCAGTTTTGGTAAGTTGTATGTTTCTAAGAATTTATCTATTTCTTCTACATTATCCAATTTGTTGGCATATAATTGTTCATAGCAGTAGTTTCCTTTGATCTTACGTATTTCTGTGGTATCAGTTGTAATGTCACCTCTTTTGTTTTTGATTTATTTAATTGAGTCTTCTCTCTTTTTCTCTTAGTTAATCTAGCTAAAGGTTTGTCAATTTTATTTTTTCAAAAAAACCAGCTCTTAGTTTCATTGATCTTTTCTATTGTTTCTCTGGTCTCTATTTCATTTATTTCTGTCTTGATCTTTGGTATTTCCTCCCTTCTGCTAACTTTGGGCTTAGTTTGTTCTTCTTTTTCTAGTTCTTTGATGTGTAACATTAGGTTGTTTGTTTGAGATTTTTTTTTTCCCTTAACATAGGCATTTATCCCTGTAAACTTCTAAGAACTGCTTTGGTTGCAGTGCATTGGTTTTGATGTGTTGTTTTTTCATTTTCACTTGAGTTATATTTTGATCTCTCTTTTGATTTCTTCTTTGAGCCATTGGTTGCTCAGGAGTGTGTTGTTTAGTTTCCACACATTTGTAAATTTTCCAGCTTTCCTCTTGTTGTCTTCCAGTTTCAGATCATTGTTGTTGGAAAAGACACTCAGTATGATTTCAGTCTTCTCAAATTTGCTAAGACTTGTATTGTGGACTGTCATATGATCTATCCTCAAGAATGTTCTGTGTGCACTTGAGAAGAATGTGTATTCTGCTATTGGATGGAATATATTCTATATATGTCTGTTAGGTCCATTTGGTCTAAAGCATCGTTCAAGTCCAATGCTTTCCTGTTGATTTTTTTTTGTCTGGATTATATATTCATTGCTGAAAGTGGAGTACTGAAGTCTCCTATTATTACCATATTATTGTCTGTTTCTCCCGTCAGATCTGTTAATATTTGCTTAATATATTTAACTCTTTTGATGTTGGGTATATATATATTTATGATGGTTATATCTTGATGAGTTGACTCCTTGATCACTATATAATCACCTTTTTTTCTTTGGTTACCATTCTTGGCATAAAGTATATTTTGTCTTATATAAGTATACTTACCCCCACTTTCTTTTAGTTTCCACTTGCAAGGAATATCTTTTTCCATTCTTTTACTTTGTGCATGGGTGTGTTCTTAAAGCTGAAGTCTCTTGTTGGCAGGATATAATTGGGTCTTTTAAAAAAAATCCATCCAGCCACTCTGTGCCTTTTGATTGGGGAATTCAATCCATTTATATTTAGAGTAATTATTGATACATAAGGACTTATTAGTGCCATCTTATTAATCCTTTCTGGCTGTTTTTTACTTCCATCATTCCTTTTCCCCTTTCTTTCTGCCTACTTGTGTGAACTGGTGATTTTTCTTGGTGTTATGCTCTGATTTCCTTCTCTTCATTTTTGTGAATTTACTGTAGGTTTTTGCTTTGTGGTTACCATGAGGCTAACATAAAATATCTTACAGATAACATAGTCCATTTTAAGCTGATAGCAACTTAATTCAATCACATCCAAAAGCTCTCCCTTTTTACTCTTCCCTTTTATTTATTTATTTATTTTCCTGAGGAAGATTGTCCCTCAGCTAACATCTATGCCAATCTTCCTCTATTTTGTATGTGGGTT